TCAGCCCTTTTCCCTTCCCTGCACATGCTCCAGCCCCTCAGTTTTGTCCTGAGGGTCCCAGAACTGGACAAGCCCTGGAGTTGTGCCCTCCCCAGAGCCCAGCACAGGGGAACAATCCCTGTCCTGCTCCTGCTGCCACCCAATTCCAGGTGCCATCGGCCTCTTGGCCACCTGGACACAGCTGGCTGATGTTCAGATCACCCAGTTCCAAGCCCCAGTTTAGATTTTTTACCCTGTTGTCCTCAGTGTGCTGAGACTGAACACTCAACCTACACACAGTGCTGAGAGCTCTGAGCCCAGCTGGCAGGAAGGAGCCATCCCTCATCCCTTGGAGGAGGAAAACCATTTTTCCTCATGCCTGGCACACAGCAGCTCATGGGGATGTGTTTGGTGTGGAGCAAAGGGGTTGTTGTGGTTTGTTCCAAACCAGTGATAGTGGCTTTGGTTTTGTTGTGTGGTAATTGTTGGGTTTTTTTGTGTTAATTGTTGGGTTTTTTTGTGTGGTAATTGTTGGATTTGTTGTGTTGAAGGTGCCTCGTCACCAGACATGGAGTCCAGCTATGGGGGAGGCCTGCTGGACATGGTGAAGGGAGGAGCAGGGAGGCTCTTCAGCAACCTGAAGGACAACCTGAAGGACACCCTGAAGGACACCTCCTCCAAGGTCATGCAGTCTGTGGCCAGGTACAGTGCACCTGAAGCAGGAAAAACCAGGAGCTGCTGGTCCCACTGAACAAGCACGGCACAGCTCACAGGGATTGAGGAAGGAAGGGAAAATCCCAAATAATTTCTTCAGTTCTGTCACATAATTGGGGTTTGGCCTCAAGGAAAACCCAAGTAAAACCATGTAAGCTTCATAGTGAGCATCAGCATCGTGAAATCTGGGCAATGCCTGTGAAAGTGGAGCACCTGGTCTCCAGTTCCTGGAGGATTCCCTGTGGGATCCTTCCAGTGAACCACCACTTGAATATTTATTTATTCACTGGTGTTGACTGTTGATTTTATCTCTGCTGTGCTTGCTGATGTTGCCATCCCTAAATCCATCTTGGAAAGGAAGACAGGCTGAGGTGACTTTGCTTTGGGGACTCTCCTGGTGTTGTCCCCCTCCAAGGGACCAGGGGCTACAAGAAATTAAGGAAATTTAATGCAAGACCCCGGAGGGTTTGAGGATCTACAAAGTGCAAGCTGCTGGAGATTTCTCCTGGAAACTGGCACTAAAAATTAATGACAAAAGGGAAAAGGGACCTTTCTTGCAGGTTTTGTATTCAGTTAATTGCATGTGGAGACAGGGAGGCTGGGTCACTGTCTGCATCTCAAGAATTAATTTTAAGATGGTTTTTCCTTGTGTGATAAGTCGATTTTTCTGGGCAAACACTCCTAATGTGCTGCTGAAGTGCCTAAATTCTGTCCCTTGCTTTGTCTCTTAGTTACACCAAGGGAGAGCTGGACATTTCCTACATTACCTCAAGGATCATAGGTAAGCACTGCTCTGTGGAGAAACACAACCTGCAACACCCCAAACCCCAGAATTCCCTCCATCCCCACTGATCCTGGCCTCTCCTTGCCTTGCCAGTGATGTCTTTTCCTGCTGAGGGCGTGGAGCTGGGCTTCAGGAACCACATTGAGGATGTCAGGACGTTCCTGGACTCCAGGCACCCCGACCACTACACCGTGTTCAACTTGTCACCCAAATATTATCGCAGTGCCAAGTTCCACAACAGGGTGAGTGCCTTCCACAGGGGCAAATTCCTCAGGGAAAGGGGCAGCAGCTTCTGTTGTATCCAGAATTTAAGGGGATTTAGGAGTTAGAGGTGTTTTTAAGCTGCTGGGGTGGGTTGGGGAGTTTTAGCTGGGAGCACAGGGATGAAAGAGCTGGAAAATTCAGGGATAATGTTGATGTGAGGATCCTGGGAGAGTGAAAGGCATTGCATGGAGGGGCTGCAGGGAAATAAAGAATAAACCAGGGTTTTACAGCTGCTCCTACAGTGTTGGAGCTGCTGCAGGGAAAGAATAAAATGAAAAGCCTTTGGAAGAAATTACCAATAGAAGGAGGGAGATGATTTTCTTGCAGTTGGGTTTTAATCATGCAGGCAAAGTTCAGGATGGAAATGGGATCTGAGGGGCATTTTGGCTCTTGTGACTTTAAAAAGCCACCTGCACTGCCTGGCCCAGTTTCCCTCTCTAAAACCAGAGCAGCATCAGGGAGCACTGAGAGGCTCTGCTTCATTAATGGCTTTTAGAGGAAATCTCTATGAAAAGCTGCTGCTGAAATGCAAGATTAGATTTAATCTTCCTGAAAACTTCCTGTTCTTTCCATCTCCCACAAGGGAGTGCTGTGTTTTGGTGTTGTGGTTTTTTAAAAATTTCTAACTTTTTGATGCCTTCAACCCAAAAGGCAGCAGCAATTGCCAGGCTTAACTCTCAGTCAGGGTAAATGAATCTAATTTAAGCCTAAATTAGTTTTAATTTGAGGTGTAGCTGAATTTATCTTCAGTAATTTTGTTCACCAGAAACCACTCACTGACACTTGAAGCAAATTTCTCTGTGGCCATCAGTAACCAGACTTTAAATATGAGTAAATGAACAGGGAAGACTAATTAAGAGATATTAAGAGCTCAGAATCTTCACTCTTGATTGATTTTGGTGCATCACTGATGCTGTTTGTGGGTGGAGAAAAATTTATTTACTTCTGGAAGCCCAGCATTAAAGATCTATTGCTGTGTGAGCAGGCAATAATTCCCGAATCCCTGGAATTATCCCAAACTGACTTTTAATGTCACTCTCAAAGGACAGCTCAGTGCTTTGGAAGCATTGCCTTGACTCACACAGGAAGAAAATAAAATGATCTTTTAATAAAATATTGTGTTTTCAGCTTATGGGCTGGGAAGTCCTGATTCCAAGTATTTTTCATGAGAAACAAATGTGAACAACACAATACATGAAATAATTACCAGGCTTAGCTTTATATATCTTGCAGAAAATACTAAAGGGCTCTCAAGGAGGTGAAACCCCAGTGAGTTTTCTGCTGGGATGAGGATGTCAGCTGAGCTGCACTGAGATACACACAGGAAAAGCTTTTCAGTTCCTGCTTTCTTTAAAACTTTCTGCTCCTAAGATCCAAGTGGGTCACTGTGCTGCGTGGTGGCACAGGAGGGAGGTGAATTTGTGTCCTACCTTAGGAGTGGCTGAGTGGGTCAGCAAGCCCCAGGTGCCCAGCCTGCCGAGGAGGAGAGGGCACTGCGAGGGTGGTCAGGCACTGGGAAAGGTTTTCCCCAAACCTGGAAGTGTCCAAGGACAGAGCTGGGAGCACCCTGGGATAGTGGAAGGCAGCAGGGTGTGAACAAGATGATTTTAAGGTCCCCTCCACCCCACCCGAAGCGTGACTCTGACAGAGACCTGGCTGTGCTCCATTGTCCCCTCTGTGTCCCCAGGAGGGGAGGAGAGCAGTTTCAAACCACAGAACTCAAATCTAACATGAAACAAACCCAAGCCTCAAAGACCCTCATGGGTCACGTTCCTGGCAGTTGCTGCCCTGCTGTTAAAATCAAACAAGTGCCGAGTGCTTATTCCCAAAGCTGGAGAATTCCAGTTGCTTTTCCCCAGGGTTGTCTGTGCTGAGTGCTGGTGAGGTTCTGTTTGATAGAAACACCAAGCACACATTTAATTTCCTAATTGCAAACCATCAGGCAGATGTGTAATTAGAGGCAATGTAAATATGTAATTATGGACTGGTGGGAAATGTGTATTATTTACTAGAGAAGTGATAATGGCTTTTCCAGATGCTTGGCAGGGAGGTCTGCTCTGAGGATTGTCAGTGGAAGGGTCACTGTAGGAATTCTAACAGGAAAAATCAAGGACATACAACAGAAGGAATGAAACAAACTCTGGAGACAGGAGAAGGTGAAGAGGACAAATTGGGAATGGTCACTCCCTGCTCTCCAAACTTTGAGCACTGCTTGATCTGTTCAGTGGCTTCTACAACACAAAGCCATATTTGGATATTCTGGAGAACAAAACTTTCAGAGACCTAAAATGCTATCAGATAAATATCTAACTTGCTGGGAGACAAAAATGGAATTTGCCAGCTTGGTCTGGCCCTGCATCCCACGGGAGCCTTTGGGATCCTTGTTGGATGTGGCACAGCCTGGCAGGGCTCTGGTTGGAATCTGGGTGCCTGTTTCTGCTCCAAGATGTTGTGCAGGTGTCAGACAGAACCTGAAGTGCAAGTTTTATAAAACCTGGAGCATTTCCTTCCTCTTAGAGATGAAACAGTTCTGGGGATCATGTGGCTGTCTAAGAACATCTGGGCAAATCATCTCCTTCCTTCCCCGTTCCCATTGAGCAGCAGCCAAATGTCAGCTGAGAGAGAGACAGAACCAATTCTTCAGCTGAGGACAAGCCTCGGAACATTCTTCCTTTAAATTTCTTCTGGCCAGAAATGCCTTTTTTAAAAAAAGATATTTCAATTAAAACCAGATGAAAGGGAGATGTCTGTTGAGGGCTATTTGATGTGCTGCTTGGGACTGCAAGGACTGACTCAGAACCAGCACAGAGGAGTAGGAACCAGACATTCTTTGAGATTTATGGGGTTTCAGCTCTAAGGAGCCATTCATTTTCTGGCTCATACATTAACATACTTAGATAGGATTACTTTTTTTTTTAATAGAACTTTCCCTTTCATCAGTTTAATATCTGTCACATAGGGCTTGGAAATGCTGTGCCAGGGAAGGATTCAGAACAACAACTGCTCAGTGCCCTGTGCAAATCAGAGCAGTTTTTAGGGACACATTGTACAAAAGCTTTAGAAATTGAGGCGAGACTGGAGCATTTTAAAAGAGCCCCTCCAGATAAGCTGATGTGAAATGTAAATTTTGAAAAACGTGCAGTCAGGAACAACACATCAGCCCAATGTCATCTCATTGAGAAGGCTTTTTTGTCTGCCTCCTCATAACTCATGGGAGGCACGGCGCGGAGTTACGCACGAGGAGAGGTGGAGTAGGATTCCAGCACATAACTCCGGGTTGTAAAGGACAAGTAGGTGTCTTGGCAGGGAGATTTAGTAGAGCTGGGCTTGTTTGGTGCTCCCACAAAGTGGTTTTTTGGTGGTGCCATCCCTGCAGGTGTCTGAGTGCAGCTGGCCCGTCCGGCAGGCGCCCAGCCTGCACAACCTCTACGCTGTCTGCAAGAACATGCACAACTGGCTGCAGCAGAACCCCAAAAACGTCTGTGTCATCCACTGCATGGTGAGTGCACCCACAGCAGCCAGCAACAGCTGCTCATGGAGTGTCTGGAGGCTGTGTGCCAGGATGGGGACAATTCCTGAAACAGGAGGGATGGGATGGCATGGCATTGACCCAGAGGAAGGGACATCATCACCCAAAGCTCAGCTGGAAGAGGGTCACTGAATGAGAAGCAGGAATGCAAAGCAAGAGAGGTCAAAATCATGCTCCAGGAGAAAGGTTTGAATTTCACCCAAAGCTGTCAGCTTGCTGTGACTTAGCCAGGCTGCCCAGAGCAGCTGGGGCTGCCCCTGGATCCCTGCCAGTGCCCAAGGCCAGGCTGGATGGGGTTGGAGCAGTCTGGGACAGTGGGAGGGGTCCCTGCCTACAGCAGGGGGTGCACTGGATGGGCTTTAAGGTTCCTCCCAGCACAGACCATTCTGTGATTCTGTGATTTGCATTTTAATCCAAGCAGTCACAGAAGAAAATGCAGCCTTTGGAGTGAAGGGGGCTGAAATTGGGCAGAAAACAGAGAGCTGGGAATTCTGTCGAGCTGTGAAATGGAGACTGTTGAAGCCTCCTGCCATCAGGAGAGGTCAGGCCTGGCTGAAGGAAACCCCCAGAGGGATTATTCAGCACTGGGCAATGCTGTGCTGTGTGAGGGTGGTGTGATCCTGATCACTCCTAATTTACTCCATCCAACCTTTCCTGTTGACAGCAATGCCCAAAAGCAGAGTTTTGCTCTGCTCTTGGAGCCTAAATTAAACCAGGAGGCTGTCAGCCCTGATCAGCAGAAACTGGGAGGAGTGGAGGAAATGACTGATCCCAAATTGCACAGGGTTCCCATGTGAGCCTGGCATTTCTGCCTCTCACAGCACAGCCAGCAGCTCCAGGATGTAAATTCCCTTCAAACAGAGAGAAAGATGCACTTGATGCCTCCAACCCTGGAAATCCAACTCGAAAATCCAATTCCTTTCCTGTCCTTTGGGCAATGGATATCAGGATAACGTGATAAAAGACAAGGAGTCCTTTCCAATACTTTCTAACAAGGCTGCAGAAACCCACTTAGTTTATATGAACCTGAGAGATCTTGCCAGAAACAACTGACAGGGGCTAAACTTGAAAAAAGCAAACAGCCTGTTCATGTCAGCAGGTTCTTGGGGTCAGGATCAGCTCTAGTACAGAAAATCCTACAGAAAATGGCTGGAATGACTAAAGGGGGCCTGAAAAAACCAATTGCAAGGAGCAAGAGTGGTGAGGCCTTTGAGGAGTTGTGGATTCCCCATCCCTGGAGGTGTTCAAAGGGGTTTGAAGCAATCTGGAATAGTGGAAGGTGTATATCAGGAACCCAGGGCACTGGGAATACATTAATTTTCTCCTGCTCTTCCAACATTTTTGATCAATGTGACTCAGCAAACTTTCCCCCAGAATCACCTTAAAAAATCCCATCAGGAGCAATCTGTAAGCTCAGAGCTGAGAAGGTGTTTGGGTGAGGGAGCCCGGGGCTGGATTTTTTGTTTGTTTATCCTTTTCCAGGATAAATTTCTATTAGAGGACTGCCTGCAGCTGTAGGATGGGTACAATCTGACCCCTGTGGTCACTCCCAGGCCTATGTTTGAAATAATTATAGAATTACAGCTGGGGAGCAGCCATGAAACACCAACATTTGCAGCCAAAATGCTCTTGTGGGCTTTTCAAACAAGTGTAAACCACCCTCAGCTTTGGCTTCTCCCTGGGTTTTATCTTAGCTTGGATTGTTCACTGAAGTCCTGGGTGTTGAACAAATGACACAGAACCCAAAATACCTCATAATAACTCATCACCTTGTGGTCTCAACCCTAGTCTTTCTGGATAAATTATATTTTGTGATTTCAGGAGGAGTGGAGAGCTGGAATTTAAAGGATCTCTCAGATACTCACAGTTTTTCTTCTCTGCCCCTTTCCTTGCCAGGACGGCCGTGCAGCCTCAGCAGTTCTGGTCAGTGCAATGTTCTGTTTCTGTCACCTCTTCTCCCATCCTGGCCCTGCTGTGCAGCTGCTGAACACAAAGAGACCTGGAATTATACTGTGGCCATCTCACAGGAGGTACAGTACCCTGGCTCAGCACTGTGAGCTCCACTCCTCCAGCTCAGAGCTGCCCAAAGACCTGGCACGTGTGCTTTGACCCCAGGGCTCAGCCAGGGTGAGATCCCACAGTGTTCCTCAGAACTGAGAGGGGATCAGGTGCTGGAAGAGCTTGCCCAGAGCAGCTGTGGGAATTCTTTCCTTGGAGATCCCTGCTGGGGTCTCACCCCCAGCACAAAACCAAGTTCTGAGATAGAGCTGTGAAGCTGCTCCTGCTCTGAGCAGAGAGCAAGTGACCTTCAGATCTTCCAACCTGAATTATTCTGTTATATGAGATGTCTCTGCTCATTGCAGAGGGTGGGATTAGATCACTGCTAAAGGTCCTTCCAACCCAACCACCCTATGCTGAACCTGTAGTTAACAGGGTCCTGGAGAATCCCTCTCGTGTGCCAGCTGCATCCTCAGAGAAACAGCACTGCAAGTGCAGTTCTGGGTCACAGAAACAGCATCCAAGTGCAGTTCTGTGCCAGCTGCATCCTCACATAAACAGCACTGCAAGTGCAGTTCTGGGTCACAGAAACAGCATCCAAGTGCAGTTCTGTGCCAGCTGCATCCTCAGAGAAACAGCACTGCAAGTGCAGTTCTGGGTCACAGAAACAGCACTGCAAGTGCAGTTCTGTGCCAGCTGCATCCTCACATAAACAGCATCCAAGTGCAGGTTTTGTGCCAGCTGCATCCTCACAAAAACAGCATCCAAGTGCAGTTCTGTGCCAGCTGCATCCTCACAAAAACAGCATCCAAGTGCAGGTTTTGTGCCAGCTGCATCCTCACATAAACAGCATCCAAGTGCAGTTCTGTGCCAGCTGCAAGGATGTTGGAGCACATGGAAACTCCAGCCCTGGGCCTCTGAAAGAATGGCACTGCTGCTGGATTTTGAGGCAGATTTTGAGCGTGAAATGAAAGAAACAGAGATTTCAGCCCTGGTTTTCTCTGCTGCAGGTACATAGGGTACATTTGTGACCTAATAGCAGACAAACCTGTCATCCCCCACTGCAAACCACTCACGATCAAGTCAGTCACCCTCAGCCCCGTCCCCTGCTTCAACAAGCAGCGCAACGGCTGCCGGCCCTTCTGCGACATCCTCAGCGGAGAGACCAGGATCCTCACCACTTCCCAGGAGTATGAGAGGATGAAGTGAGTTCTGGGAGCCCCTGCCTCCCTCTGGAGCTGCATGCAGCCACTTCCACTTTGCTGGGGGTTATCTGAGCTGCAGTCATTGCCTGGCTGCTGATAAATGAGGATATTCACTGAGAGTTAGTGCCTGAGGTTGAAATAAATGGCCAGAGGGAGTCTGAGGTTAGCAGGAATGGGACAACTGCACAGGCATCAGGATCTGAGGTTGGCAGGGATGGGATAATCACAGGCATCAGGATCTGAGGTTGGTAGGGATGGGATAACCACAGACATCAGGATCTGAAGTTGGCAGGGATGGGATAACTGCACAGACATCAGGATCTGAGGTTGGCAGGAAGTGGGATACCTGCCCAGAGATAATCCAGTGCTCTGTTGGTTTCCCCTGTGGAATAATTTTGTTCTAACCAAGCAGAACACTGAATGCTCCTCCTTGCTTGGCCTGAAGGAGGTGAGAGCTTTGATGTGGACACATGGTGGAAGGGAGCTTAATCCTGGCTTTTCTTCCCCTCCAAGAGAATACCGTGTGCAGGAAGGGAAGGTGCTGATCCCACTGGGAGCCACTGTCCATGGAGATGTTGTTGTCTCTGTCTACCACATGAGATCGACCATCGGGGGACGCCTCCAAGCCAAAGTAGGAGCTGGTTTCACTTCTCTTGCGTGGGGAACTAAGAGCTGGCTAAAATGGAATCTATATAGTTTCCTTGAGGATGTATTTAAAACTTGAATATTCAAACTGCAGAGTGGGCAGTGAGTATTTTCCTCCTCTCCACTCATTGTTGGTGCCCTTTGCTGTGTAGATGATGCTTCCTTGAGGCCTCTACTCCAAGTGAAGTGGTTTTATATTTTTTGGGACACAAGCCTGTTGCTCCAATGTATTCAGTGGGAACAGCTTCATTTAATTGCAAAACTGATAAGCAGACCCCAGAAATAGAGAGAAGCAGGGAAAGAAGGCCTGTTCCTGAAGGTTTTCTGCTGTATGGAGGCTGCAGCAGCAGGGTTGAAGGCAGTTGGAAATATTTGGAATATTTGGGAATATTGAGAATGAAATATTGCCTGTAGAACAAGCAGAATTAATTCAGTTATGCAGCAGCTAAGATTAGGGTAGACTTAACTAACTCCTGTATTTAAGCCCTTGTTCAGTCTCTGCTTTTTTTTTTCTTTTCAGATGACCAACACACAAATATTCCAAATTCAATTTCATACTGGATTCATAGCCCTGGGAACAACCACTCTCAAATTCACCAAGTGAGTGTTTGAAGCTGAACATTAATCAAACCTGATGCATAAAAGCCTGATGAAGGCTGAGGGAGAACAGTCACAGAGGAAATATTTAAAGCCTGAATGTACTGAAAGCCTTTTTATAGCTTTCCAGAAATATTCTTCCCTTTTCAAGTGGACCACTCTTGTCCCCTTTAGGCCTGAGCTGGATGCCTGTGACTCTCCAGACAAATACCCTCAGCTCTTTCATGTTATACTGGACATAGAAATTCAGTCTGCAGACAGACAAACTGAATTAACTCCCCCATGGGAGAACTTCACGACAAAAGACATCAATCCCTCCATTCTCTTCTCCTCCCACCAGGAGCACCAGGACACTCTTGCTTTGGCAGGTAAGGGCTGCATGGATTTGTTCCATTCCCATGATTTCTTCATGCTGAGCTGGGTTTTGTTTCATTCCACCTCTCTGGTGCTCTGTGCTGCAGGTAGAGGTGCCACGGATTCCCCCCAGGATAACATCAGGAATGTTGGGCAGAGTGCATTCTTCTCCTCTCTCAGCTGGCAAGGTAGGCCAGGCTTGGTCTTCAGAGCCAAATCAGCTCCAAAGAACACAAACAACTCCTGCTCCCCTGGCTGGAGCTGGAGTGAGGCTGAGGGATCCCACTGTAGCATCAGATCACAGAGCTGGGCACACCCTGGAGTTGCCATGGAGTGGGAATTCCTTTCCTACAGCATCAAACTGTGCTCTGTGGGACAATTGTTGACACAGTTCTAGGGTGAACCTTCACCCGAGGCCTCCTTTGTGCTAAAACTTGAGATAAATAAGCCTTGATGAGAAAATTTAGGTTAATCTTGGCAAAGAATCATGGGATCATTTAGGTTGGAAAAGACCTTTAAGGTCATCAAGTCCCACCATTCACCAGCACTGCCAAAGCCACCACTGACCATGTCCCCAAGTGCCACATCCTCCTTGGATGGGGACCCCAGCTGTCCCAGGGCTGCAAAACCCTTTTGGGGAAGAAATTTGCCAGCTTTTATTTTAAAGAGCAAAATTATTTTAGCCAAATGCTGCTGTGCTATTCTCAGCTTTCTGTTCTGCTTGTAAGCTGATTTTTACAGGACCTTTGTGATGACCAAACTAACAGCTGCCTAATTTTATTTTCAATCATCATTTAGATCAGAAATCTGACAAAAGTAGCTCTCACCCCACCTCAGAGGATCGAGCAGCGTTGGTGCATGAGGAAAGCGAACAGTCAGATGACGAACTCTTGTCCCTTTCCAGTCAGCACAGTAATGCCAGCGGTGACAAGCCCCACGGGACACCCAAACACAGCAAAAAGCAGCAGGAGCCTCCAGCAGCACCTCCCCCTGAAGACGTGGACCTGCTGGGCCTGGATGGCAGCCCCATGAGCAAGAGCTTTCCCTCGCAGCCCAGCGCTGCCCCCTCTAACTCTGAGCTGCTGAATGATTTGTTTGGGGTCGGAGGGCCGAGCTGCCAGAGCCCTGCTGGAGCTGGAGCTGGAGCTGGAGCTGGAGCTGCTGCTGCTGCTGCTGAGGAGGTTTTCCATGTGGGGGCACCTGGATCTGTGCAGTCGACCCCGCGGCGCTCGGCAGCTTCGGCGTCGCCGTCCCCGTCCCCGAGGGTAGGAGAAGGTAATGGTGGCTTTATTAAAAAAATAGAATAGCAATACTCTCAAAATGACTCAGTAAATTCACATTATACAATCAATGTAGCAGCAATAAGTGTTTGAGGAAGTTAACGCTTTTGAAACATTCATGTATCAAGGAAACAGAGCAAAAACTTTAAATTGTTTGATATTAATAACAATCACTATTTTTTGGTGTTACCTCTAGAAGACAAAAACAGCAGAGACTGTAATGAAGAACAGAACTTTTGATGAAATTGATGATATAATGAACTGCATCCCCCCTGGGTGAAGGGACTTGGGCTTGGAGGATCCCTCTGGGGGGTCTTGGCTACCTCCTTTCCATCTAGGTTTTCCCAAGAGGCCCCAGCCAGCTCCTCTGCTCCAAGCTGGTCCATCCTCACCAAATCAAACTGGAGCACACCTGGGGTTTGGAGGCTCCTCACACCAGCAGCCACTGGAGAGCCTCAGTTTTGCCCTCATTATGTGTCCAATAGTGCACATGAGTTTTACAAAAACTCCTCTGACGGTTTGGATAGACCTACAGCATATGAATTAAATTTCTCTTTTAACTTAAGGGGTTAGGAGCTGCGAGAATGATTCTGGACTAGGAAATAGAGAATTTCTGTTTCTTCCAAGACCAGGCTGCAGGTGTGGCTGAGGAGAGGATGAAGCAGAGCAAGTGCAAAGAGACAGGAGAAGGATCCAAGTTTCAGTGGAAGAAATTGGTCACCTGTACTTGGAGAAGGTTTCTCTTGCTGTGGCTGTTGTAGGCTCAGTCTGAAAGCTCTCACCCGTGCTGGCTTTGCAGACACATCACACAAGAGGTGCAACAACAGGTCAGGAAAAGATTTAGGGATTTAGGATCTCTGCAGAGCCAGAATCACACAGCTCAATTGTCCCAAGCCAGGAAAACACAGACAAGAGTTTGGGAAATGAGTGAAGAGTAGTGACTGAGTAACATAAGTAATGAGTAGCATCATTACCACAGAGCAGAACTTCTAAGGATTGTACCTTTCAGTTGCTTTTAACCTTAAATTTGTTGACAAGAATCTGAGTGACTTCATAGGAGTTTCTTTTGGTTGAGTTTGTTGGGGTTTTACATGGAAGAGAGAAGATTGAACACATTGATCAAAAATGGAGTTTGAGAAGAACTGGAGTTTTGTAATAAGTGATGTAGAAAAGATATTTCTAAAGATTTTCTAAAGCTGTTTGCAAAAGTCTCTTTACCCCCAACGTGGATAACCTTTGCCAGCCTGGAATAATCTTGAGAGGAATGGCAGGAATTGCACCAGGGCAGTAACTCCAATCTCCAGACTGTCTTCCACCCTTTACTGGCAGTTAAAACTCCACCTGAAGTGCCTAAGTACTTTAACACTCACTTTGCCTGGCTCTGAATTCAGCCCCTCTTAGGAAACGAGAGATGGGCTCAGTTTGCTGCCATGGCCAAGCTCTGGGGCTCTTTAGGTGCCCAGAATTTGGGATATTGATGCTCTCCAGTTGCTCCCCCACAGTTTTGGGCTGTCTCCTCTTTGCTACCTGCAGGTATCAGATTTCCTCTCCCCAGAGCTTTCCCTTACCCTGAAGCACATTCCTGCTGCAAGTTCATGATTTTGTTTCCTCAAATACGTTTTTACAGCCACTGCCTTTGATCCTTTTGGAAGTAGCCCCAAACAAACTGGTCCAGATCTCCTGGGCTCCTTCCTTGGCTCATCAGCTGTCCCTGGGGATCCTTTCCTTCAAGCCACAAGAAGCCCTTCACCAACTGTGCACAGTGATCCTTTTCACATGGGTAAGAAAGAGGAGCCTCTTCCAGGGTGTTTAAAGAAATGTAAAATGTTGCTTTGAAATAGAAATGGAACCATTAAGTACAAAGTGATGCTTCTCATAAAATGTCTCTAAACCACAGAAACCCCACGAAACAGGAAAGAGCTTTCTGTCCCTGGACTTAAAGTATATTCAGCATTTGGAGTGTGGTAGGATGAGCTGAGTTTTGCTCAGGTCTTAGACTTAATTAATAGGCTATTTATATAAATAAAAAAGAGGCCATGAAGAATGTCTGCCCACATATTCCTGTGGTTATGAGGTCTCCTTTGAAGCAAACTACCATTAATTGCACTGAACACAGCCATATTTAGAGAAAACACACATCCTTTGGTGATTTTAGTTGCAGGCACCAGCTTTCTTTAGCTCCAGTACTGACCCTAACCAAATTCACCGTTGAACTTGACTGAAGAGAAGGAATTTTCTTCTCTTTGTTTAAAAGTTCCCTAATTTCCTCCTTCTCACCCCAAAATGTGTAACCCTGTCTGAAACACATTCGGTCATGGATTTGTTTGTGCCTGGAAAGTTGGAGGGGATCTTAAAGATCATCCAGCTCCAGCTCCCTGCCATGGGCAGGATCAGCTCCCACGTGAGGTTCTGGGACTTTGTGGAGTCCCAGTGGCTCCTGGTGGGCACTGGGCTATGCTGGTTTTTCTGGACTGCTTTGAGATACTGATATCAATCATTCTCTTTAGCTTCAAGCACCCCAACTGTTTCCATCCAACCAGATGTTTCCAGTGGTTGGGACTGGCCCAACAAAGCAGGTATGTGTGATAAAATTCAGAATGGTTAGCAAAGAAAAAAAACCAAAACACCCTTAAGGGAACTCTGAGAAGAGGGAGGCAAAGGGAAAATGGTGTCAGTGACTGCAAGGGACAGGTTCTCTCTAAAGATTTCCATATTTAAAAAAAATCTGGGTTTGTTTCCTCAAGAGCCCAGAGCAGGACAGGTGAGGTGAGGCTGTCCAGGGATTGTTTCATCCCACGTAGAGCCATGGGAAAAACCTGGGAAGTGCTGTGCATTCCCAGGGTGCCACTAAATGATTGCATGGTTCTTTCTAATCTTGGGAGAGTGTGCATGGCCTCCCAAAGTTGCTTCCTGAAGGCTCCTAGTTCTTAAAATATATCCACATGTCACAATTCCTCTGGCAGTGCAGACAGTCTGGGAACATTCCTGCTGCTGTTCCTAATTGGGAGTGGGAGTGCAACAAGTCTGAGGCTGCTGAGGAACCTGACAATGGTACACTCAATTTTAATAGCAGTCTTCTAATATGTGGCTGAGCACTGGGGAAGAGCTGCACTCATATCAAACAGGAGGAAAAACGTCAAACAGGAGGAAAAAATGTTCTTTTTTTATATATTTATTTTTCTTCTTCTCTTTTTTCTTTTCTTTTTAAGGTGGTCTAGGAATGGGGAGTAAGTCTGCTGCCACCAGTCCTACAGGATCCCTCCACAGCACTCCCACTCATCAGGCTAAACCCCAAACACTGGATCCATTTGCTGATCTGGGAAGTCTTGGAGCCAATTTAGCAGGTTTGCATCCCCTATTAAAAAAAGGAAAATAATAAATTACCAGCATTCTTTTAGAGAAATAGGCTGAGCTGCCTGGTATGTGTGGGGCCTCTCAACCCACCTGCATGCCAGTGCTGCTGCCAGGCTTTCCCTTCTGCCTGATTCTCTGTAAACTCTCACAAATCCGTGCTTTTCCTGATCCCTGGTCAAAAAATGTGCTGGCAACGTGCAGGGAGCTCAGCAGGCCCCATGGATTGCAAAGCACAACCTCTGATAAGTCCAAACATGCTCTGGCTGAGGATGCTCTGTGTTCAAGTGCTGCTACAGGCCTGGGAGGAGAATCTGGCTTTGCAAAGCTGCTGGGGTTCTTGAGGAATTGCTTCCTTCTAGACTTGATTCATTTTTCTGCTTTGTGAGAAAAGCTGTGCAATTGATCTGCCTCTAATTTTAAGTATTATCCAGAGGTGGGGTATTTGCACCTGGCTACAAAGCTTGACTGCTTAGAAAAGCCTTTTCCCTTGTTTTATGTCATAAAACAATCAGTAAACCCTCAATTCCAATGTTTAAAAGGCAGTTCTGAGAAATTATTGAAGCTTTCCTTAAAGCCCAGCAATGTCTGAGTCTGGTAAATAGGTTTTTCTTGCCTTTGTTGCTGCCCTCAGCTCTTTGGGAGCCCTTGTGGTTCGGTGTGTTTGTTTTCCCCTTTGCGTCAGTCCCAGCATGAGTCTGGAATTCGGTTTCCCAGTTCCCTCTGCTGGATTTCAGGCTGCTCTGCAGGAACAAAATAAAAAGGCTGCCAATCCCCATGTCAGAGCCACCGAGGTCCTTTTAAAACACGCATTCTGTAGGAGAGTGGTGGGGTTTAAAAACAAACGGCTTGGCATCCCCAGGATATTTAAGCACATTTTTGTTGGTCGTGACTTAAATCGAAAGCACTTCATCCAGTTTCCATGACACATTTCTGAGCTGGGAGCTGAGTGCGGATGTCAGTGTGAAATAATAAAACATTGACACTGGGTTCCTCCCACAAACACAACCAGAGCCAAAGCAGCATCCCCATAAGCAGTGAGGTGCTGGGACACATCTCTGCGGATGGTTTTTAATCAGCACAGCGTGAGGAGACACGACTCCAACAGCACCAGCTTGGTGTTGGCACAGGCTGCCCAGAGAGCTTCCCCACATCCCTGCAAGTGCTCAAGGCCAGGCTGGATGATCCTCAGTGAAAAGTGCAATGGAACTGCATGAGCTGCAGGTCCTTCCTAAATTTAATCATGCTGTCACTCTGTGTTGCCACCATCCCCACGGAGCTGTGGCTCCTTGTTAGCTACCTCCAGCTTTCCCTGTTTCCCCAAGCCACCTCTAATTCCTCAAAGCCAGGCGCTGTCCTATAAACAGCTCACAGAGCAAGCTCGGGGCTACAGCGATGCTGCAAACAGAAGCCTGGGGGACTTTGCTTGGATCAATTCTGCTTTGTGAGAAAAGCTGTGCAATTGATCTGCCTCCAATTCGCAGTATTATCTAAAGGTGGGATGTTTGCACCCGGCCACAAAGCTTGGCTGCTTAGAAAAGCTTTTTCCCTTATTTTATGTCATAAAACAAGCGGCAGACCCTCGATTCCAATGTTTAAAAGGCAGTTCTGGTTTAATTCCCTCTCTGCAGGTGGCCCCTCGTTCTCCAGCAAGCCGACCACGCCGACGGGCATGGGTGGGGGCTTCCCCCCGTCGCCGCAGAAGCCACCGCCGCAGCCCATGGGTGGCAGCGGGTGGCAGCAGGGCACGGGCTACGGCTGGCAGGGGGCACAGCCCAAAGGCCAGCCCGGCGTGCCCCACGCCTCCCCCCAGAACAAGCCCAACTACAACGTCAGCTTCTCGGCCACGGGGGCGCAGGGCGAGCGGGGCAAAGGAGCTGCGAATGTTGGTAAGAGCAACCAGCGTCCAAAGGGGTGGCGCTCCCTTTGGGTGTCCCTTGGTTTGTGGGTTAGGGCTGAGCAAGTCAGTCAAGTGGATTGTTTGGTGCTTTATCCTGTCCTGGATGCTGAACTGCGCTGTTTAGGAAGTCCTGTATTGCCAAATGAGCTTCCAAAATAATCCTGGAATTGTCCAAGGTCAGGCTGGATGGGGGTTGGAGCAACCTGGGATAGTGGAAGGTGTCCCTGCCCACAGCACGGGGTTGGAACTGGATAAACTTTAAGGTCCCTTCCAACACTAACCATTCTGGGATTCTATAATAATAACAACAACTTAAAAGTAACATTAAGTAATATCTTTTATGAAAAGCTGCACATTCAGTAGCACTGGGAGATTGCTAATGTGATTAACCAAAGGATGTATCTTATGTAGAAAGCCAGGGTTAAATGCACCCGTGCTACGATAATAATTTCAAATCTTCTCGGTTTTCAAGATTCCAAGCCAAAAGTGTCTGCAGATTTCGAAGATTTATTATCTGGTCAAGGCTTTAATGCTCACAAGGACAAGAAGGGCCCCAAAACAATAGCTGAGATGAGAAAAGAAGAAATGGCAAAGGAGATGGACCCTGAAAAACTAAAAGTAAGTAAAATTCTTGGGGATGTCCTGCCAGTCATTCAATATCCTCAAGAGATTTAAAACTCCAAGGTTACATTTCTGTCCTCAACCAGACCACATCAACAATGGCTTGCTCAGTGTCACTGGGCTGCTGCTCTTCCACAGCACTCCAGACCTGATTAGCAGGCACAGCTAATTAAACTAATCATCTGCCTCATTAATCCTGCCTGCTTTGGAATTCTCTCATCTCTCCTCAATAAATTGCCAAACTGCAGATCTCTTATGAAAGGAAAGGGAATTCAGTCTGTCCTGCTCTGTGTGTGAAATATGAGACCACAAATTGGAATTACAGAAGGAGAGAGAACTCGGAGGAAAAGCTGCAGCAAAAGCCAAGCAAAGTTCTAGAAAACAGAATGATCCTCTCAAAATTTCCTGGTTTTAACCTTTGGGAAGTGACAGCAACCATGCTGAACTCGACCATCAGCCACAACAGCTGGACAGGGGTCAGGCCGTGGAGTGGGCAGGAGTTTTCCCAGCTCCCATTTTCATCACACAAAAGCTGTTGAGTCACTGAAGCTCCCAGCTGATTTGGCCTTTCCAATTTAATTCTCTTTGCTCTGATGCCTTTCATTTCTTTGGGGCAGCTCAGCCTGGAACTGTGAAATCTATTAATGCTTTGGTTTTCACATTTTAACTTATCTGAGCTTAGTTTAGGTGTGCAATTAACCTTGCTAAAGAACCAGACAGTTAAACACCTAATTTGTCTTTTGGCTATTCCATCAAGCATTACTAAGTCAGTGTTTTTAGCAGGGATGTTGCTCAAAGTCTGTCTTAACTTTTAAGCAGCGATATAAAAATTAATGACAATTAGACAAAGGTTTGCTGAAGGTTTTCTAAAGCATGGAAAGAAATTGAAGATGCTTCTCGGGGTTACAGTTACTCAAATGAAGAAACTTTGTCCTGGTGGAACATCTAAAGTGAGGCATAAATACTTGCACTCCTTTCTGCAGGTGCTGGAGTGGATCGAAGGGAAGGAGAGGAATATCAGGGCTCTGCTGTCCACCATGCACACGGTGCTGTGGGCAGGGGAGACCAAGTGGAAGCCTGTGAGTATGGCAGACCTGGTGACTCCAGAGCAGGTGAAGAAGGTGTACAGGCGGGCCGTGCTCGTCGTTCACCCCGACAAGGTAAGGCTGGGCTGCCTCCACCTCAGGGGGAAACATAAATTGATTATAAAGTGTTGGATGGGGTCGCTGATTTATTGCTGCTAACAGCTCTGTGCAAAGTAGGAACTCAAGATTTCTGCTGCTTTCTGGAAGTTGAGAACTCTGAACTCATCCCTGGAAGTGTTCAAGGCCAGGCTGGAGCAGCCTGGGGTAGTGGAAGGTGTCGCTGCCCATGGAACCATTTAGGCTTTAAGGTCCCTCCCAGCCCAAAGCAGTCAGGGGTTTTGTGAAACCACTGCCAGCCCCAAGACTGTGCTGGAACCTGCTTGTGAGAACCCCAGGCTTGCTCTGGGGTCTCGGGTGGTGGTAAAGTCTCTCCTCCAACCCGTGCTTCCAAAGAAAAACCCCGCAGCCTCTTGTTGTTCGGTCTCAAGGCAGTTTATTGTGAGTTATCTAAAAGATTTTCTTCTCAGGCTGCTGTGGTTTGTTCACAGCTCAGGCAGAGGCACACACACACCCTGACATCCTCTCTGTCTGCTGTCTTCTTCTTCTCTCCCCCAGCCCAGGGCTGCTGCTATCTTTTATATGATATATTACGTGTTCCATGTTTATAGTTTTTCCCCAATACCCACTACCTATGTTACAAGGTGCTTTTCTACTCTAAACCAATCTGTGAGTGCCAGCATCACCAAGAACATGGAGGTGAGGAAGAAGAAGGAGGAAGAACAGGATCAGCCCACTTTCCTCCATCTTAGAACTTCTGACCCCCATGTACAAAGTAAAAACCCCCCTGGACAGGTGCTAAAACCCCCCTGTACAATACTAAAAAAAATTTCCCCTCTGTTTTGTAACTACTTTTACTACACTATCTAGCACTTTGTGACTGCTTGTTCCACCTCCAAAGTTGGTAACTCATCCCATGGCTCAAACTCAAAATCACAGCTGTGTCCAGCTGCCTGCCAGGGTCGAAAATGCTTCTGACCTGGGCCTGGAACCTCTAAAAATGTCTGAGAGACATTTTGAGTTCCAACACCTGCTGTTTGAAGCAGCAGAAATTCAGAGCTTTTGTCACCCTCACTTTGACCCTCAGCTGCTCTGCTGCAGTTCCTGCTAAAGGAGATCCAAATCCATCCCCTGCAATGGAGCCATCAGGTTGCTTGGTTGCCCAGCTCGTGGCTCGTGCTCTGGCTGCTGCCACTTGCTGACCAGGAGCAGCGAGTCCAGCTGGGACACTCGTGGGGAGCAGGAAGCTTCCACTTGGCAGGGGATGGAGGCCCTGGGAGTCTCAAGGCTTGGAAGGATGTGAGCTGCCCGAGGCTCCCAGGAATTCTGATTTCATCCAGGAAGTGTCAGGTGGCAGCTCTTTCCCTTCCATGCAGGTAAAATTCCTCTCTCAATGCCAAGGTTATATTTATCATTTAGAAGGTCACATTTATTATGCCCATGGGACAGTGCTTTATCCCACTCTGGGGGGTGTCAGCTCTGAGGAGCAGCAAAGCCAGGAAATCCTTAAGGAAAGCAACACTCCAGAGTAGCTGATTTTTGTCAAGGAAAAAGTAAAAATTCATGGAACTGCTTGGGAATCTGCTCACGTGCCAGCTGTTGTGGTTGGGTTTGGGAGCTCTGATATCCCTCTTTTCTCCTTGTTTCTTTTCCAGGCTACTGGGCAGCCATATGAACAATATGCAAAGATGATATTTATGGAGCTGAACGATGCCTGGTCAGAATTTGAAAACCAAGGACAAAAACCCTTGTATTAGGTACTTTCTCAGCCTCACTCCAGACCCGTGCTAGTGCTTATTTAGTCTCTTGTCACAAATGTCACAGATCAACCAAACTCTGGCTGGAAATTCAGAAGTTTCAGAAAACTAAGAGCCTAATACTTATCATGAAGAACATGAGAAAGGTTTCCTAACACTTGTCTCCAGAATCCTGAGCTCAGAGGAACTCTGGACACCGGGCTCACCCCACCAGAGCCACAGGGTTACAGTTTCTGGTTACTTTTCTATTTTATTTTGGGTTCCAGTGGGACAAGAGAGAACACATACTTGGAAAAGGTGGAATTGGTCTGTCTCCAACAAAGTGTAGCTGGTGAATTTCCAACCTTTTTCTTTT